CAGGTTGAGGCTGCAGTGGCCAGGAGTGGCCACTGCACTCCAGACTAGGCGACAGAGTGAGACTCCAACTAAAAAAAAAGAATAAATACCTGACATGTACCCATAGTTCAGTTTTGTTCCTTAAGTACTAATATCCTCTCATCTTCTTCAGAGTGTCCAGCTGTAAATGCTAATGTCTCCATACCACTGATGTTCAGAGGGGAAGAAGTGGTTGAATTCCCACAGGAAGAGTTACCTGTTAAACTATCTCAGGTGCCAAATCCTCCAGAGAGTGTGAATCTGGCCAACAATTTTCCAGCACATATTTATGAGCCAGCTGTGTTGTTAACACCACCCAGGCAGAAGAGCAGCTCAGAATTCTCTCCTCTACAGGATGGTAAGCAAGCTTCTTCTAAAGTTACATGGAAGTTGCTTTTTATGCTTCATTTATGTAATATATTGCATTCACTGTTACCTGAAAAACAGAATTGAAAGACATTGTGTCCCGCGCTTTGGGAGGCTGAGGTGAGTGGATTGCCTGAGCCTGCGGGTTCGAGATCTGCCTGGGCAACTTGGCGAGACCTCATCTCTACAATAAAAAAATCAAAAAAATCAGCTGGGCATGGTAGTGCATGCCTGTAATTCCGGCTACTCGGAAAGCTGAGGCGGAAGGATCACCGGAGTCCAGTGGGTTGAGGCTGCAGTGGCCGGCAGAGTGAGACTCCAACTCAAAAAAAAAAAAAGAAAGAAAGACCTTGTATATTGCCCATAGCCTTTAAGCTGAAGGAGGAATTTTTAGAATAGTTTATGTGTGTTACTCCTATGGTGAAGTGTACTATTGAATTAATTTTATTATATATCTGCTCCATTAAACATTGTAAATATTAAACTCACATCAAAGGATCAAGGTCCTTAGCACTAAGATGCAGAGTAAGGGGAATCTCCTTCGTCCCTGTGGTCCAAGAGCATATAAAAAAGTGAGAAACAGAGAATAATGAAAGTTAGGCCAAGGGAAGATGAGAACTATGACTTTTAATCAAAAGTTTTCAGCTCATGCCTGTAATCCCAGCACTTTGGGAGGCTAAGGAGGGAAGGCCCATTGAGCCCAGGAGTTCGAGACCAGCCTAGACAACACAGCAAGACCTTGTCTTTACTAAAAATAAGAAGTATATATATTAGCCACACGTGGTGCCATGTGCCTGTAGTCCCAGCTACTCAGGAGGTTGAGGCAGAAGGATTGCCTGAACCTAGCCTATTAAGGCTGCAGTGAGTCTGATCGTGCCACTGTACTCTAGTCTTGATGGCAGAGTGAGACCCCAACTCAAAAAAAAAAAGTATTTAGGTCAGTCAGTTGAGGGAATTTTATAATAAAAGTTGATGGACAATTAAAAATAGCTTTAGAGTTCTCAACCTGGGGTTCATGAATGGTCTTCAGAAGTTCCATGGACTGCTTCATTGTTGGAAAAATAAATGTTATTTGTTCACATGTGCATTTTTTTTCTGGAGCTGTCTATCACTTTTATTTCATTTTCAAAGAGTTCTTCAGTCAAAAAAAGTTAAGAATCACTACCTTAGACTCTCCTTTAAAGTTTTTTTAAAATTTTATTTTAAAAATAAATTTAGAGGGAGTGGGTAGAGAATGGGTGAGAAGTGGCATTTGTAGAAGGTTCCTGGACACGTGTGGGGGTTCTTGCTCTATGAGGCAACAGGTAGGTAAAATAGGGGCTCCCCGAAAAACAAATGTTGATCTCCTGGGGAGCCTGGAAATATCTGGGGCAGGGGAACTTGTAGAAAAGTCTAGCAACCAGCCGGGCTCGGTGGCTCAGCCTGTAATCCCGTGCCTTTGGGAGGCTGAGGTGAGTGGATTGCCTAAGCCCGCGGGTTCGAGACCCGCCTCATCTCTACAATGAATCAAAAAATCAGCCGGGTGTGGTAGCGCATACCTGTAATTCCAGCTACTCGGAAGGCTGAGGCGGAAGGATCGCCAGAGCCCAGCAGGTCAAGTCTGTGGTGGCTGGGAGCGGCCACTGCGACTGAGTGAGACTCCAACTCAAAAAAAAAGAAAAATCTAGCGGCCAATCATGGAAATCCTTAAAAGCATGGCCATTGCAGGTTTGCAATAGCAAATACGACTACTTCTATATTCTCATGTACGGGATTTAAAAAAATTGAAAAAGCAAAGCATGGTGAAATTAAAACGTACACATTATAATACTGAGTAATTTATCACAGAAACAAAAAATTAAGTACCACCACATGTTCTTGCTCATAAGTGGACCCTGAAAAATTATAATACTATAAGAAAGGGATTGGCAGTAGTGGGAAACTGCCAGGGGAGGAGGGTTCGATTAGCAGTTGAGGGAAACTGTCAGGGGAGGGGGAGACACAAAGAAAAAAAAATTTATTTTAAAAATAAATTTTAAATTAAAAATAATGAATTAATTTTATTTTAAAAATAAATGTGGGGTACAATTCAGGGTTAGGTATACAAATGTTCATCATGCAGGTACCCTTGTTGATGAGGTATGTCCCTCCCTCCCCTGACAGTTTCCCTCAACTGCCAATCTCACCCCCTCTCCCCTGGCAGTTTCCCAGTACTGCCAATCCCAATCCCTTTTTATGGTATTATGATACTTGTTCAAGGTCCGCTTATGAGTGAGAACATATGGTACTCTGTTCTTTGTTTCTGTGATAGATCACTGAGTATGATAGACGCTCATTCCATCCAAGTTGCTGCAAAGTTCATAATTTTGTTTTTCTTTGTGACTGCATAATATTCCATTGTGTATATGTATCACATTTTTTTTAATCCAGTCCAACTTTGGTTCCATGTTTTTGCTATTGTGAATAAAGCTGCAACAAACATGTGTGCAGATACCTTTTTGGTAGAATGACTTGAGTTCCTCTGGGTATATTCCCAGTAGGGAGATTGCTGGGTCATATGGAAGGTCAATTTCTAGTTTTTTCAGAAATTGCCATACTGTTTTCCAAAGTGGTTGCGCTAGTTTGCATTCCCACCAGCAGTGTAGAAGCGTTCCTTTTTCTCCGCATCCTTCCAGCATCTGTTGTTGCTTGTTTTATTGACAGCTGTTCTTACTGGGGTTAGGTGGTATCTCAATGTGGTTTTGATATGCGTTTCTCTGATGATGCGTGAGGCTGAACACTTTTTCATGTGTCTGTATAACTTCTTTTGAGAAGTGTCTGTTCATGTCTTTTGCCCACTTCCCCCCCGCTGGCCCCAGCCCCTTTTGCCCACTTTTTAATGGGGCTGTTTGTTTTCTTCCTTTCAGCGTGTTTGAGTTCCTTGTAGATCCTAGATGTTAGGTCTTTGTCAGATATGTTAAAAGTTTTTTGAAAAATATTCATCCCTGATTTGCCTGAATTTTCATTTCTTTCTTTTTTTTTTTTTTTTTGAGTTGAAGTCTCACTCTTTCACCCAGACTGGAGTGCAGTGGCACACTCCCGGCCACCGCAACCTGGACCTAATGGGCTCCGGTGATCCTTCCACCTCAGCCTTCCAAGTAGCCGAAACTACTACACTCACATGCTACCATGTCCGGCTCATTTTTGATTTATTGTGGAGAGGAGGTCTCGTCAAGTTGCCCAGTGGGTCTCAAACCCGCGGGCACAGGCAATCCACTCGCCTCGGCCTCCCAGGGTGCTAGGATTACAGGGAGAGCCACTGAGCCCGGCTGAATTTTCGTTTCTATAAAAAAAGATTTTTATGACCGGGTGCGGTGGCTCAACCCTGTAATCCCAGCACTTTGGGAGGGTGAGGAGAGAGAATTGCCTGAGTCCAGGGGTTCAAGACCAGCCTGGGCAACTTGGTGAGACTTTGCCTCTACACTAAATAAAAAAATTAGCTAGGCATGGTGGCGCATGCCTGTAATTCCAGATAATTGGAAGACTGAGGCGGAAGGATCACCTAAGCCCCACAGGTCGAGACTGCGGTGGCCACGAGCATGTTACTGCACTCCAGTGTGGGTGAATGAGTGAGAATTCAACTCAAAAAAAAAAGATTTTTATTTTTATTTCTATATCTATGTTGGAGTCTCATTTTGTCACCCAGGCTAGAGTGCAATGACACACTCACGGCTACTGCACTCGACCAGCTGGGCTCAGGCAATCTTTCACCTTCAGCCTTCCAAGTAGCTGGAACTACAGGCATGCGCTGCCACATCCGGCTAATTTTTAAATTTATTGTAGAGACAAGGACTCACCATGCTGCCTAAGATGGTCTCGAATTCCTGAGCTTAGATAATCCTCTTACCTCAGACTCCCAGGGTGCTGGGATTACAGGCATGAGCCACCGTTAACCAGCTTAAAAAAACAAGATGTTTAATACTCTTATATTGGGGGACAGAAAAATAACTTTTATACAAAGTTATGCAAATTTTGTCAGATTTTTTGCAGTTTGATGTATGTTTCTAATAGAGGACATGAAAAAGCCATAAGGGTTAAAGAAAATGACAAAATTTTGCCATTAAACATTTTATTTTGGTATTTATAATGCAAACGCAGCATCTCTTAGCTCAGCGTGGTGCAGTGACGATAGTTCCAGGCTGAGAGTCAGAAGTGCTGCTGTTGTGGCTCATCCATCATTGCCTACCCATGAGGCATGAGGCTCAGATGCTTACCTTTTCTGGGCCTCCGTTTTCCTATCTCTAAGATGAGAGGATTTTTCTTTGCCTTTAATGTACTTTCCAGCTCTACAATTCTGTTGTTTTGATGTTTCCTTTTCAGCAAGTTGGAGAATGTCATTAACTCTGGCCAGATTAAGGATATATGGTTTCAGTTCTGATTTCTATTCATGTTAAATTTTTATTCCTTAAAGGAGTTAGTTGTTCAAATGTTTGCGTGTTGTTAATAGACTTGTCTAATGCTCTCTTCTTAGATATTGTACATTATTTTTTATGGGTAAAATAGCCTGAAGTTTTTTTAAAGAAGCAATTACAATAAATGTTTCTACTCTAATCACAAATATACTAAATGATCACTAAAGCAAGTTTGTCAGGGACTCCTTTACACATTTTTTGGTATCGAGTTCTGCATTGAAAACAAAATCTGCATATTTCTTTTACAATGTGAAGAGAGCTGCATTTGAGTATGTAGTCTGAATTATGTTTTCTTAGTTTTCCAGTATTGTGTTTGGAATTCTCACATATAAAGACTTGTTTAATTAAACCGAACTTGCAGATGAAGATGGGAGATACTTAGGACCCTTCATCAGCATTTAATTTTCCTTCGGAATATTTTTGTCCAATAGAGTTTTCTGTGATGATGAAAATATTCTATATCTGCTCTATTGAATTTGGTAGCCTCTGGCCTCATAGGGCTGCTGAATATCTGCTGTGACTAGTATGACTGAGTAACTGAGTTTTACGTTGTATTTAATTTTAATGAATTTAAATTTGAATAGCCATCTATGGCTAGAGCCAGCCATATTGGACAGTATCATTCTAGAATTTCCCACCAAAAATATTTTCCTCTTGCTATTAATTTATTTCTACTTTTCTTTGCAGCCATGCTTCTTGAAAGAATAGTATGTGCATATATGTATGCTTATATGTGCGGTTTTCATTTTCTTATCTCCCATTTATTTTTTTATGTTAAAGTGTTAATTCCATATGGTTAAAAAAATATTGTCAACCTAAGTAACAGACAAATAGGATCTCTTAAAAAAATGTCGTTCATTAGGGATTGAACATTGCAGTGGAAATATGGTGGATATATTCAGGGAGGTAAAGGATGACAAGGGTTTTTAAAGGAAAAATGAGGAGGGTTATCTAAGTTGTTCTGAGACAATTATCCTTTGCTACAAGGATTAATACTAAGGGTGGCATCAGTCCAATATTGGACATGGTGTTTCTAGGCAGATGTACTCACTGAAGTAGAAAGACTGTACTTGATTGTCAGGGGTGGCATTGCTGGTATGTTCCCTGCTGAAAATAATTTAGGCATTTAGAACGTAAATCCATTTACTGAAATACTTCTCTATGTGATGGGCTGGTAAGATGATAATAGTGCCAATCTATGGGGAAAAAAATAACTTATTACTTAAAAATTCTTATCTACAGTATTGAGGAGGACTGTTCAAACTCGTCCTGCTCCACGAATTCCTCCTACTGTGGAAATAATTGAGAAGGAACAAAATTGGGAAAAGAAGACATTACCCATTGATGCAGACATTCAGAATTCAAGTGAAGAGAGTCGTCTCTTCACTCAGAGGTGGAGAGTCTCTCACATGGGAGAAGATATGGAGAACAAAACTCAGGCTTCTTTCACTAACCTCTCACAGCCCCTCTGTAATTCCCATTCCAACATGCAGCAATTGAGAAACCCTGGGTTCTCAGAAGAGCCCCTGGTACTGGGAGATGGGCAACAACTTAGAACAAATGAGGCGTTACTACAAAGAAAGGACATTATGGCACGGATTGCTGAGTTGACACTGCAGAATTCCACTATCAAGGCACATCTGAATAACATTATTGGGCCTGGGGGAGAGCAAGGAGATGGAGTCCTGGAGTCGAACAAACAGGAATGTGCCAGCGACATGACTGCTGTGAGTACCAGTTAAAGATTAACTAGGGACTTGTAAGAATTTAAGTAGGAGTGAAGCTTGAGCATCTTGAGAGACTTCTTTTCAGAAGTGATCCTAGTTAGCTTTGAGGATGCTACTAGATGGCTTATACTTTGGCATGTCCTCATTACAAATAGGTATGTTATATATCAATCTGTATTGCACATACAATGAAAGAAGACAACATAAAAGAAAAAATATGTTAGTGAGGAAAGTAGAACAAAGGTAAAATGTGTAGGAAAGGCAAGATTAAGCTAGGAATGACATCTTAAGTGTAAAATGTAGAATTAATATGACTTGAATGTTTGGCATATAGCTACATTTTAAGGAAAAGTATTTTTACTCTTAAAGTGGCTCATAAAAGAGCATTGACTCTCAACTCATGAGTAGTTCACTCTTTGGGACACAGAATGCATTTCCATTTCCCTATAGAAATGATATTTTAAAAGATTATTAGAGTCAGACTTTATTGTGCATATGAATCTGGGGATCTTGCTAAAACATGGTTTCTGATTGAGCAGGTCTGGGGCAGGAACTGTGCATTTCTAATTAGTTCCCAATGATGCCAGTGCTACTGGTCTGAGGCTCATGCTTTGAGTAGCAAAGGTCTGCATATTATAGTGCAGGAGGTCTATAAGTTAAATAACTTTGTTGGATAATCTGGTAACTTAAAACCTTTATTTTTAAGGAATGCTAAGTTCCAAAGGGGAAGTGTTTATAACATATCTCCACATGCTGGTCCCAATGATGGAAGACACTTCTTTTTATCCCTTCTTGAGTCAAGGCGGCTCCTGGCAAGCTTCTAATAAGGGAGAGTATAGTGTTTTAGCAGTGGGAAGGAGCTAAGCAGCTTCACCATGGATCAGGGGCTCCTGAGTGGCACATCCATAAGGGTTTTGACAATAGTGGATTGAGGGTTTTGCTGAGAAAGGTTATGGGGAGGTGGGAGTAAGGGTCATCTCTGTCAACACTGGCTCATGGGGATTTAGGAGTGTATGGGTATTGAATCATAGAAGCACTCGTGAGAAGGGACTGGCAGAAGAGGAGCCAGAAAGGAATATTACTAACAGGCAGCAGCCATTGGTATGGGTATAGGTAAGTAAGTATGAATTGCCCCAGTTTTGAGTCATTGGGAGTTCTTCAATTCATACTGCTTTGGTTATTTTTTTCATTTTTTTACTAATAGGCATAAGCTAAAAATTAGTGATTTCTATTAGGGGTTCTCCCCCAAAGGGACATAATTAACTAAATGAAATAATTAGGAATGACATATTTCGTTTGTGAATTTTCAAATTAAGCTTATGTTATATTCTTTGGGTAGCTATTTTTTACTCTGTCTCTCATATTTCTTTCCAGTTACCAGCTATTTTTATATCAGCATCTTAGACCAAAATTGACCTAGGGAGGCTGGCCCTTGGTTAGAAGGAATGGCCAAGTTCCCAGAATCTTTGCCAGATAATAACTTATGATGCATGTTTGAGGATTTTAATTATTGAAGCATCTGTTTCAAACATAGCAGATCCTCTTTTGTAATTTGTTGAAGTCCAGAGCTGTCATGAACAGGTGTGTTGTATTTAGAGACCATTTCACTAGACTAATCTCTTTGCGTGTGTGATCTTTTTGTGCAGCTCAGCAGATACTGAGAGATACAGGAAAGCTTTGTCTGACAGATTTTATACTCAGACAGAGGAACTGGAGAACTTATGTGACACAAGTAGGAGAAGGATTAGCATCTTTTTACTTTAGCCATAATTTTTCAGTGAAATGATTTGTAAATTCTATTGTTTGTCCACCATTCACATTTGTATAGAGCAAGGGCTATGAATACTGACTTGCTGGCAGTTAGTAGAAAAGTAAAAATTGTGTGGAGTCTTTTTCAATATTGAATCTGTGTCTCTTTTTTCCCCCGAAGACTTTTCCAGTAGCACACTCTCTAGCACCAAGTAGTATGGAGGAACGGATTGCAGAATTGAATCGACAGAGTATGGAGGCTCGTGGAAAACTACTGCAGTTGATAGAGCAGCAGAAACTTGTTGGTTTGAATCTTTCTCCTCCACCAGTGTCACCTGTTCTGTCACCTCTCAGAGCATGGACTGGTTGGTCACAAATTAATGATTTAAAAACTAGAAGTATGAAGGGTTTTACTTTTTTGATTTTGCAAGTTCACATTGAGCCAAAAGAAATCTCAGAGCATATATTTTGGTGTCTTCAGTTTTGCACAGAAAAAAAAAAACAGGCCTAAGTCACAGAATAAGTAACAGAAATAGCAATAGAAGCTAGAACCCCTGATTCTTTCTATCCCATGATGCCATAGTGAATCTTTGGTGTCTGAGTTCCTAAGTTACCCCACATCTGGAGTCTATCTATTACATTCCTGGATTGATGGATGGATGTACGAGTGCATGGTTTGATTACATCAAACTGGCTTATTTTTCTCTCTGGCCAATTTCTTCCCCAAGAGGGAAGGAGGAAGGTAGAGAAAGTTGTATTTTGGGACAATTCCTTAATTTCTTTTAGTTTCACTTTCCCCAACTGTGACACAGAGAGATCAAGACTTACTTGTAGAAGTTTGCTTTGGACCAGTGAGATTATTATGCTGATCCCAGCATATAGTAGTAATTCAGTAATTTCCCTTTTTTTCCTTCTTTATAGTATATGAAATATAAACATCTGAATGATAACTTAAAATTTCATCAGCAACAAATTACAAGTTATTATTCTGTTAAAACGATTAAAACATTTTCATTCGTTAATAAAATTTTCTACTGTTAAATTTAGAAATGTGAAAAGTGAGAGGTAATTCTAAATAATAAAACAGTGATAGTAACTGAAAAATTAATTGACATAGTATTCAAGATCTTGATGAAGTGTATTTCAAGTTACTTTGTAGCCAGAAATTGAATTATTAAGACCCTCAAGGGACAGAGCTACATGAGGAGTATAGAGAGATTGATTTTTGGCTCAGTAAAAGGGAAGACTTTAATAGGAATAGAAAAAGCTCTCTGTATCAGTAAGTGATGTGTTCCCTGAGGTGTTCAAGCATTGGGTGTTTGAGAGGGACTTGTGTGTCCTACTGCTGGTTGAAGTACATTACTTGTAAGGTATCTTCCAGTAAGAGTATTCCTTTTAGAAATTATTTCCTTTTTGAAATTACAGACCCAGAAAGCAGACCCTTTTGCAAATTACTGGAAAATAAAGCGTATTGCATTTCCCTGCGGCCCTTTCTCTGCTTATTCTAGGCTTCCTCAAATGACAGCTTTGTATTGTTCTTCATAGTCACAAAGTCTAGAGGCAACTTCTGATTAGAATAAATATATACTCAGTTATATATGAACATCTACTATGTGCCTGCCATGTATAGATTTGAATACTCCAGCATTCAAGTTGGGGAACAGGCAACAAACAAATAAATATTTGGGATACTGTCAGTTAGTGCTAAGTGCAGTGAAGAAAAATAAAGCAGATCAGTCTTAGGAATAATTTTGTGATTAAATATGATATCTTCTGTTTCAGTAGTTCTGCAAGGTTAAAAAAAATCTTTTATCTCTGTTACATCATTTAGTCCTCAACACACCCTGAGAGTAGACAGGGTCAGCATACTTAGTCGATAAATAAATAAACTGAGCCACACAGAGGTGAAATGATTTATCTGAAGTTCCAAAGCAAATTGTGGATTTGCAACTGTGTTCTTCCCCTTTCAGTGGTTGTATCTCTAGGTACTATTTTTATGAGTACAATTGTTGGTTACAGGAACCTCTGTGGGCTATAATGATAAAAATAAAAATCAACTACATGCCTTGAAAAACTTATTTTGTTTTCTAGAATAACTAAGGAATATTTTGTTACATTAAATAGGATCTTATATATTTTAAAGCCTGGAACTCACTGGTTTTTAAGCAGTGATTCACAGGAGCTTCTGTGAAACTGCCTAGGATGAACATAAAGTCTTTAATTAATAAATACAATATGTTGGTCAATTACCTACTTCTAAAATATGGAAAATATATGTAATTATATTTGCCATTGGCCATATGGAGTCTTCAGCCAACTTGCTTCTTCTATCTTAATATCTTCAGTAACAGTCACAATGTAATTGATTTAAAAGATTTAAAGTTTTACTGAATGACTTCAGACATTTTTATTTCCTTTTTTTTCCCATTTCTTGGAGGAAAACTTTAGATAAGCTATTTTCTCAATGATCTCAAGTTCTTTAGGGCTAGCTCTTAATTTCTGTTTTTCACTTCTAGATCTGGCATGATACTACTTGACTGAGATTCAAGGCCTTCTATAAACTGGCATGCTACTGAAATGACACCAATAACTAAAGTTCCTTGTCTCACAGTTCATTTTTTAAAAAATCTTTCAAGTGTATCTGTGGGCTATAATGATAAAAATGTGAAAAAAAACCCAAATTTAAATGTGTAATTTGTAGTATCATATAAATCGAGTGAAATTTTATTATTATTTCATTGAAGGATAATGAAACTAATACTTATTTTTATATTTTAGAAGGAGGAAAGAGGACAATTGAAGTATCTATTCCAGGAGCTGAAGACCCAGAAAGCTCAAAATGCAGTACTGTCTCTCCTGTCAGTGGAACGAATACAAGAAGGTAGGGTTACACTGTGAATAGTTACTTAAAAAAGCAAAAAAAACCAAGGATGTGCTATGTATTTCATTGTCTTTGTGAAAAAAGGAAGTGCACAATATCTGATTTAGATTCAGACAGACTCATGTAAAGAAAATAAAATAGCCGGAGAGGAGAATTTTGAGGGGGAAGAAGAGTGAGGAATAAACTTTAACCAAGTAGAAGAGCATAGGTTGGCCAGGCATAATGGCTCATGTCTATAATCTCAGCACTTTGAAAAGCCAAGGGGGGAGGGTTGCTTGAGGCAGGAGTTCAAAACTAACCTGGGCAACATAGCAAGACCCTGTAAAAAAAAAAAAAAAATCTACCCAGGTCTGATGGCAAGCACCTGTAGTTCTAACTACCTGCAGGCTGAAGCAAGATCACTTGAGCTCAGGAGTTTGAGGCTGCAGTGAACTGTGATTATACTATTGAACTCCAGCCTGAGCAACAGAGTGAGACCCTGTTTCTAAGAAAAGAAAAGCATGGGTTGGCTATTGAAAATAAAAATGGGATAACACATATGTAGAGTATTTATGGTTACAAATTAGGAGACGATACATGACAAGGTGGGTCAATTGACCAGTATATATTTTCTTCCTTTATAATAAATGAAACTGAAGCTCATCGCGGTGATTGGGTGATTTGCCTAGATGGGTCACATGGGCGATGAATAGTGACACTAAGGCCCTTCTGTCTCCATTCTTCAGTTTAACTACCTTACTGCCCGCTCCAGGTCCTGTGTTACCCTTCTACTACCTTGACCACCTTCTCCCCCTGCACATCCATTTTTCCCTTTATTGGTGAAAACTTATCTGTAGGATAAGTTTTGAATGTATAAATGGTGGACACATACCATAATACATTTGTCAAAACCCATAGAATGTTTAACACAAAGAGTGAACCCTCATGTAAGCTATGGACTTCAGTTAATTATGATAGATCAATATTAGACCATCAATTGTAACAGATTTGCCACACTAATGCAAGGTCAATAATATAGGGAACTATGTGCATGCTGGATGTGGGAGTTAGGGGATATATGAGAACTCTTGTACTTTCCACTCATTTTTCTGTAAACCTAAAACTGCTCTAAAAAATAAATTTTTTTTTTTTATTAATCAATATTTTTTATTAGGGTTTTATGGGGTACAGTTAAGGGTTAGGTGTACAGTTACGTTTCATTCAGGCACCCTGTTGATAAGAGGTGTTTTCCCATCCCCAGACAGATATTTGCTACTGTTAATCCCATCCCCCTCCCCCCCATAGTTTCCCAGT